ATATTGTATAGGTGTATAACTAACCTTGTTAACTGAACAATGTGGGTGGCCACGTTCCCAAAGCTGAATTCTGTGGTCAAAACAGACAACAATAAAGTAAAAACAAGTTTTCTTCAAAGGATTGGATAGGCAGCTGCTAACCCATGTCACATAAGGTGGGGGATGGTAGGGGTCATCTACAAGTGGGTGATTATTAGAAATTAGACTTACTTCCCCTTGGTCAGTATTAATACAACGAGGCTGTTTTCGTTTATCACGGTCCAAGCGGTTGAACTGGTTGGATCACAGTTGTTCGTTTATGAAATAAGGTTCGACCTAGTAATTTGGTGCTGCTTACAGGCGAGCCTTGACAGAGCCTTGCAAGGCCTGCATAACTATTTGCAGGTCTACCAGGATTTATACCCAAATACCCAGATTTTTAGGACACCGATATTTGAGTACTGTACTGATGCTTTTCCTATGGGATTTACATATATCATTTGAGAACCCACTATATCTTATAGTAATTACTACATTGCACCCCTACTCATCCTGCTGTGCCCCTTTGTGTCCAGATTCAGAGGCATTGCTCTAGCCACTTCATTTCTTGACAGACAGACTTTAATCAAACTTAATACAAAGGCCAAGTATGAAAATCATATGAGTCTGTATTTCAGGGTTCCAAGGTTAAGTCAAAGATCACCTAAACAATTAATAGAATTATGTTAATGTGATATAGTCACATTACTTTACGAACTTTGTTTTGTAACAGATTTTAACTTCATACATAGATGAAGTATGAGAATACATTGAAGGACTTAGAGTTCCTGGTTCAAGGCCAGGGTCCCTGTTACTATATATAGATATAAATCAATCAGTGACACCATTTGCATCAGAGCAGGAGTATTAATGCCTGAACGATATTTTCTAGTTTTGATTTGAAAGTTCACATAACCTGAAGTAATTTATGTTTTACCAGGAGAATGATTCGCCCATGAGCTCGGAACCATCTACTCCTTCTGCTGAGGTAATCAGCTGCTCCCCTATAGGAACGCCTGGAACTCCCCTTCGCAGACCCCGGGCGTCTGTATCCCCCTCCCCTCTCATTGTACTCAACAATCAAGAAACTAATGGTGACCAAAGATCTCGCCGACAAAGGTGAGAAAAAAAACCAAGATACAATGTCGATGGACCATAAAATGTTTTAAAATAGACATTTTTGAAAAGTGGTGTAAATGTCTAAAAAGATAATGACAAAAAATCTTTCTACCAAAATGAAGCATATCTGAAGTTATTTTGGGGTCCTATAAAAAGAGATCTGACACAAGTTTTCCCTGATGCTGGGACAAGTACGAAGACTCAAACGTGTGAAACTCTTTAGAACTAACAGCAAACCCGAGCTGGTATGATTGGAAAACATTCTAACTTAATCAGTTTTAAAATCTTAAAGCATTCAAAATAGTTTTATTTTGTATTTCCACTTCTCAGACGTACGAGCACTCCCCATCGTAACTCTGGTGGCGATGGCTGTGACTCTCACTGTAAAGACCATGTAGGTGGAGTTGTGGTTTTAGCCTTCAACACCAAGTCTGATCGCACCATCAACCGTGGAACATGTCTCGGTAAGTCT